GCGGCCGCCGCACGTGTGCGCGGTGTGCTTCCGCACGCTGGAGTCGGGCGAGCTGCTGGCGGCGCACGCGCTGCGCCACCGCCGCGCGCTGCACTACGTGTGCGGGTACGACGGCTGCATCCTGCGCTTCGCGGCGCGCGCCAACCTCATGGCGCACATCCGCAAGTGCCACACGGCCGACCTGCCGCCCGCCGCCCCGCCGCGCGACCCCGCCGCGCCCGCCACCGCCTGCGACCACTGCGGACGCACGTACGTACTCGCTCATGTTACCGGTTTCCAATACACCTAGAAAGCTAATGTTAATCACCCTTATCAACAAAAACGGCTACAATGTAACAGAAGTTAAATTTAATCAACCATAATTTCTTAAATGAAAATGACCTTGCTTTCTAGGTTCGGATCAGTAGCAGCTATGAAGCGTCACGCGCGCGTACATCGCCCCGCAGTGCAGCAACGCGAACGTGTACAGGTTTTATTACAATCTACTCACCTCACCTCACCCGCCCTATAAATACGTACTAACATGTAACTGACTATTGTATCTCAGGAGGAGGGCGAGGAGTGGGCGGAGGGCGAGGACATGGAGGGCGAGGTGGAATACTTGGAGGTGGACGAACTAGAGGACATGCAATACAGGGACACTGACAACTACGACCACAAGCCAGACCTCGACGACATGCAGTAATTTCCTTCACCTTCACTGCATTACTATTTTATTTACTTTTTAAAAATGACTGGAGCATCTATTGGTGAAGAAAGCTGTGTTATCAATAATTTGGGGACATGAAATAACATATAAAGTTGAATGTTTACAGTCAATATGTAGATTAAGACTTGCAACAAACATATTTTATTAGTTAAGCAAATTATCTGTACACGGTGTAAACCGAAAACTCAGACAAAAAGAATTTAGTTTCTACAATTTTAACCGTTTTTGTCTTTGTGTATTTCATGCACCACCAGCGTTGAGTAAATGATTACAAATTTACTATTATTATTTAAAATAAACGTTTAATTCCTTACTTTTTTATGTGACATAAAACTGCTTTACCATCACCTGTCTTCGTTTTTTGGAAGTTTTCCGTTTACATCTGTATATCTATGTTAAGACATATTGTAATCTTTTATTTTCATGTATCTAGCAGGTAGATGCTATTAGTTAATTTGACAAAAATATTAGGTACTACACAAGTTATAATATAATCATAGGTCCATCTCCATTAATTAAGGGATCCATTTTCCATTAATAAGGTCAACCCTTATTGCTTTGGATTCGTAATAGGATGACAAGAAGTAGATGCAATCTATTGTTTCCTATAAAATAAAAAAGGTTTTTTATTATTAAGTGTTGTACATTGTTTTAATTATAAAATCCCTCTTCAAACCCCCTTTATCACTTCTGTAGTTCTCATGATTTTGCTGGCTGTGTTCGCTGTATCAAGTATTCAGAGGTGCTGTGTTCAGAGGTTTAGTACTTGTAATTTTCGTTTTTAAGTATAAAGTAATCGCAAAGACTGCGTTTTCACGGTCTCGTTACGATTACTTTGAACGTAAAACAAAGTCGTACTAAGCCCTCAGATCAGTGAATATTTTTTATGGATTAATTTGGAAATGTTGGACATGTAGCGATCTTGTTTCACACACAAAATGTAACTGCACAGGCTACATGTATGTGTATATGTTACAGCCAAATTCATTAATTTGATATTACTCATAACTACTAGATGCCCGCGACTTCTTCCGCGTGGAATAGTGACTTTGAATAGTTCTTTACAGCTCCTCTCCCGTAGGTGATAGCGTGATAATATGTAGCCTATATGTTGATCTGGCCTGTTTGTAATATTCATGCAAAATTTGAAGTAAATCTATGCAGTACTTGTTGAGTATAGCCTGGACATATAAACAGATAAAAATTCTAAAAACTATATTTTTGGTTTCGGTATCGATTGTAAATAATGACCCAAGTATACTTTAGAAAAAAATATTGAATGTATGGGTACATACAGTTTTGTCCTTTCTTGCGATTTTATTAGGTACCTATATGTATAGATGACTGGTCATTATATATAATAACCAAATTGCTTAGTCAATATGATAATTAAATAACTTTAACCAGATATTATAAATAATAGCAGGCTCAACTAAAGTGATAAATACAATCTAGCAGTTCAGCCACGAGAGCGAACTTAGCGGTGAGCGTGCAAATCACGGCTGGACGACTAGCCGAAATGAATAGGCTAAATCAAAATCTGCCGCTGCTCGAAACATCTTCTCTAGTGAAACAAGTGAATTTATTTCTGCAAATAGGCTACAAGGCAGCACTTTTTCATGTCAATTTTATCAAGCGAACGATGAGGTCGACATTTCCTAATTGACTACTCTGAGAAGAAATGCCGAAACAAACTCAGAGGTCTGTCTCTTTTAAAGTCCAGACAATATGTATAATAGACTATGTGTGAGAACCGTACAAGTTCTTTCTGTAGTGGCCTTTTGAGGAAAGAACCACAACAGTTTGAGCGGACCCGTTCTGAAGGCAGTACGCATGTGTCGGTTTACAGTCAGCTCAATTAACAGGTGAGGCTGACTGATTCGACGAACAATACCAACCCAAAGAACATTTGCGTAGGCCGCACAAATATTTAAACTGTCAGAATATGGGTAATTAGAAAAGAAATGGCAAGGCAAAGTCTCGCACGGTCCTAGCACTAACAATTGTAAAGGAAAAATCAAAGTCAAGTTAGAACAACATATGAAAACAATGTCAAGAAATGTAACTATATGTTACAAACATGTCAACATGACCTGTGTGGACGTTACAGCAGCTTATTCCCAAGCCAGACTATCATCTAGGTAGTCTTTAATTTTATAAAAAGCTTTACTATAATAATCTGTCTTTATTTCTCGTGTTTATATTATGTATATCACTATGCTTTTTAAATAAACTTTTGTTTTTATGAGCATATACTACATTTTCATAAATATATTGAGAGGCAACAGTCATTACATTAATTTCTTTAAATAGTTCCCTGATAGAGTACCTCGGACTAAGATTATAAATTGATCGAATGGCCCTCTTCTGCAGAACAAAGATAGACTGAATGTCAGCAGCATTCCCCCATAGCAGAATACCATATGACATGATACTATGAAAATAACTAAAGTATACTAATCACGCTGTATCTACATCGGTTAAATTTCTAATTTTTTTTAACGGCATATGCTGCAGAACTGAGCCTTTTCGATAACTTATCTATATGTGAAGCCCACTGGAGCTTAGCGTCTAGGGTTATACCTAAAAAGACGGTAGAATCTACAGGGCTCAACTCCTCACCCTTAATGAGCACGCTGGTTTTCACATGTCTAACTTTTGGTGTTGTAAATAGGTTGTTGGCACTAAACCAGCGTACTATCTCCGAGAGAGCACTGTTCACATTATCAATGAGTATTTGTCTACGTTTAAGTTAAAATAATAACGAAGTATAATCCGCAAACAGTACTATCCCGTGGTTATCCCTTACAAGGTAAGGCAAGTCATTAATATATATAGGAAATAAAAAAGGGCCGAGAATTGACCCCTGCGGAACCCCATCCTGACAACAGACCCGGCGGAGACTTTTCCGTTTATCTCAACTCTCTGAATTCTGTTACTCAAGTAAGAGGTAAGAAGATCCAGAGATTTTCCTCTTATTCCATAGTGGGATAGCTTCCTGATCAATGTATCATGAAGGACACAATCGAACGCCTTGGATAAGTCACAAAAGATGCCCAAAGCGTCGCTTGAGTCCTCCCACGCGTCATATATTATTATGTGATTAAGAAGTTTAACATCGGCGTCAGTTGTTGAACGACCCCTGGTAAAACCAAACTGTTTATCATGTAACAATTTATTTCTATTAAAAAATCTTTGCATTGGATTTAGAATATTTTTTCAAAAATTTTACTGAATGTAGGTAGTACTGAAATTGGTCTAAAGTTAGTGGGGTCAGAAGTACTACCTGATTTTTCATCATGGGTTTAGCTGTGAAGGTTTTCGAGGATGGTGAAACCGACGGTGCTGTCAAAATGTAAATTCAACATGGCGGCTGCACCCTCGAAACCATGAAAGCGACACCCATGACGATAAATTGAAATTTTAATGCAGCGGCCATCCTGGATTTAAATATTTACAGCACCACAGGTTTGTACACTCTCGAAAACCATAAGAACGACACCCATGACGATAAATTGAAAATTTTGTGCAGCCGCCATCTTGGATTTACATTTTGACAGCACCATCGGTTTCACCATCCTCGAAAACCATGAATACGACACCCATGACGACAACGTGTCGTGTACATCGACAATAGTACTTATTGCCAGAAGTCTCACATTGACAATCCGTTCAGCCTCCGCGCCGTATTGCGAAACAGCCCTGCTCATTTACACCTGCTTGTTTTATTACTTTCTCAAGTCTTCGAAGACATTATACATACCTAAGTTAATGTAATCACATTGACTAGCTATAAGTAATAATGGGGATTATGACAGGGCATGAAAATTAAAAATATAGTCCGTAAGTTAGGTAATTAAAAAATATTACACACGAATTTTTTTTATTTTGTCGTATAATAAATCAATACTTAGATAAAACGAATCAAAGTTTAGGAGTGGGGGCTAAAACGATAATATGTATTAGCTTAGGCTAAGTATAATATGTAGGTACTGAGAAGTGACGTCACGCGACATTTCAAATCAATATATCTTCGAAATATTCGTTTCCGTAAGAAAATAAAAAATACGTGTCTAATGTTTTTAAATAATCTACCAGACGGACATTAAAATAAAAATTAGTCGTCTACCCTACTCTTCTTAATTTATCACTTTGACCAAATTCTGTACGTATTATGTATAATGACCAGTCATTATGAATAATATCAAATTAATCACTTTGGCTGTAACATATATATATTTTGTTCTGGGAGCAACCAACATGTATTTAGGAACAATAATTAGGCAATATATTCAACAATAATATTTTATTATCAACAACAAGGTATATTTCAATCAATAAGTATGGAAAATAATTTCAACTAAGTACTACTACATCTAGTAATATAATAATATCACAATTTAATTGGTAAAGTCATCGTGACTAGCCATGAACTCTAGTCAATGCAGTCATACAACATGTTATAACTGCGGTAAGTTAAGGGAAATCAAAATAAATTATCTTTCACTCTCATTAACATAACATTGAATCGAAGACGGATTACAAATCACCTGTATTTGTAAACTGTACGGGACATACAAATAAAGAGGTATACAAGGTGATAACTGCGATAATACTAAAGATATTGAAATGACAAGTATTACAAATAATGTAGTAAGGTTGCATCAGTGGTAGATAGATAGTCATGTAGAAGCAATCGTCAGTGGATGATATGAGCTAGTCGTCCGTGTCGCGGTGCGGCGCGCTGCGACAGATGAGAGCGACGCGGCGCGCGCGCGGCAGCGGCCGGCCGCGCCACGCACTGCGCGCGCCGCCCAGCACCGCGTGCGTGAACGAGTACCGCGCCGCGCCCCTGTACCACATACTGCCACTGAACTTGAACTTATTACTACAATACTCGTTTATTATTCATAAATACATGCACAATGTTACAGCACAAGTCAAAACATTAAAAATACAGTAAAAATTAACTTTTTATTACACTTTACACTTGATACTCCTGATTATGTATGCAAGGATAAAACCATCAGGCAAAACCTAACATGTATAGCCATAATTACTTACACAAAAACCTTCCAATCATAATCACTACCTAAACAAATGAAATGGAATAAGTTCACATTGCTATAAAGACTTACTTCATGATGTAGAGAGCACGTCGGGCCAGTAGTGCGTGTAGCTGGAGGTGAGACTTCTCAGTGTGGACGAGCTCCATCACTGCACTGGAGACCAGGCACAGACCCGCTATCACGTTGCCACAGAACTAATTGATAACAATATTCATTGTTTTGTAACCACAATTTTTTTTTTATATTAGATGGGACTGACGTTTAGCCACTATCTCGCCTGGTGGTAAGCGATGATGTGGCCTACGATGGAACCATAAGCAACCTATTCACTCGGGCCCCAAAGACACCCAGGTTATACCCTTCAGGAAATACAGATTCTATCTAAGAATTCTACTCCTTAGCCGTATGCACAAGGAAACTTGATGCAAAGTGCTTCGTGCGTGTGGATGGGACATCTACCATGAATCGGTGTCGCTTCGGCGATTGTCTTGTGGTACGATGATAGAAGGACTAAGAGGAATCAAGTTGAACAATTTTCCCGCACACTCTCCAAAATTTATCCTGTAGAAGACTGCAAGGCTTGCAACCTTACATGTACAACTATTCATTGTACATGACAATCAAGTATTTATGTCATCAATACATTTTTATTAGAGGTAAAAAATATATTCATAATTGTGGCATAAGTGTTATGTGAAATTGTGGAGTGTATTGAATCTCATGGTCCAATAAAATAGAGATTGTGCAAAGCACGAAAACTTGCAAGTCTCAACTGAAGAAAAATGTGTAGGGGTTTATTATGATATTTAAATTAGTAATAAAGAAGTGGTAGTGCACTCGCCCGCACTGCGTCGACGTGCGGCTTGATGTGTCCGGCGGCGGCCAGGTCCAGCACGTGCACGTGCGGCAGCACGGCCAGCGGCGCGCCGCCCGCCGCGCTGAAGGCCAGCGCCTTCACGCGCGACAGCACCGCCGAGCTCTCCGCCGACCAGTCCCGACGCTCCGTCTCACGGAAACCTTGGATTGCCTGTAGATATAGCGACAGACTTTGAGCCAACCAATATTTCACATCACACTTGTATTGTATTCAATACTAACATTATCCCAGTGGTCAAACTCATATCTCATGCGCCGCAATATGGGCTCCAGTTCCTGCAGCAGAGCGTTCTCCTCCTTCTCACTGATGAAATCAGGGTACACCTGCATGTCTGCCAGCACAGCACTGCGGAGCTCAGGTTCCTCGTCCTCCTTCCATGATGTAATGTCTACCAAATTTGGGTCACCTGTGAAAGAGGTCAATATGGCAAATATTAAATTTTAACATATTAATTACTATGGGGGCACTGGGTGACCAATGTTAGTGAAGGTGTCAGTGAACTTTACAGCTGAACAAGAAACACCATTGTAGTTACCATTTCGTTTATTTTTCTGGGTTACATTACTTGCTAGTTAATGAGAATACATGAAAATAATGTAAATTTAATATTGAATTCCTGAAACAGAATAGTTTTATTTAGTTTTTGTAGTTTGTTTTTAATTTGCATGTCATGGCAAGTGGTAAACATGTATGAAGTGTAGCTATTCTATTTTTTTTATCATCCTAAAAACATGCATGTGCATGTGTATGTATTTATACACACATTTTTGTGAAAAACTTTGATTTAATTTGATTAATTTTGTCAATTTATTATCTATAGCACATCTTCTGGTTACAGCCGAAAATTAAATGTTTGAAAGTAAAGTTGTTATTTCGACTATCAAAATTACTATCTCTTATTACCTACTTCCATATCATGACATGTGTACAAAGGTGTGGGCAATATTTATTTATTTATTTCAACTCTTACAGCTAACATTACAGGTAAATTATATAACCTAATGCGTTAGTGTGGCACCTTATACGACATTTACTTACATTTACAAAACTAACAATAACAAATTAACAATACCCAGACTAATAACAGCAACTTAACACTAAAACTATATCTACTATTCTAACCTATAACACAGTATATATAAAATAATCTTTGCGAGTTCATTGAACTGACACGCAAATACATCTATTACAGTCTGGATTTGGTTAATCGTACGAATTGCTCGCGTATATTAGTCGTCGTATGCATTTCTAGGGATACAAACTCTGTTATGACACAACAAAAGTAATAGAATTCATACCAAATAATATCAAGTATGACAACATGTAAATAAAAGCTATTATTAACCTGTTACTGGCATTACGTCGGGCTGCACTAAACCGCTGATGCTGCGAGGAAAGGTACCGCATAACTTCCTATATTTGCAAGTCTTTATAAAGCTAAACGTTAACAAACGCATTTTCTAAAAGTAATTATAAATAAGTAAACACTCAGATTAGGTAAAAACGGAGCTGTGGACGAGCCAGTCGGTTCGGTACATCTCCAATTGTCAATGTCAACTGTCAAATGTCAATATGACATCTTTGACGGGACGTTTTGATTTTGCCATTCATGATTTTTTATTGTAATTATGTAAATTGCGAATATCTAAAAAACAGGTAGGCCTATAGGTACTACCATTCTTATCATATTGTACAAAAAGTACCTCATTATTCATGATCGTGTTACCATTTAAATCTGGAGGGCGGCTTTTTATATTGTTATGATTTCAGCTTTTGGATTTATGTTAGTGGTAGCCTGTCAGTAAATTATTTTTCAACTTACTATATAACTACGTATCAGTCATTGATTTCTTGATAAGTATGTAGGAAAGCGTCTTTCTAATGGTATACAACATGATAAAGAAACGTAGGTATTTCAAAACAGGGAAGTTTTGAAGCAGAAGTAGGAACAGGGTGGTTTTTAGTCAGTAAGTCTGACGCTCTCTCCCTGCCTTCAGCCAAGGCGGGAGAAGCCATTGATAACCTCCCCCCCCCCCCCATAAAAAACGTAGTTCTGAACACTGAGCGCTCTGGCAAATAGCAGCTGAGTTTCACTTGGCAGAAGATGATAGATATAGAAGTCCGCACACAGAGGTGGTAACAGATCCTTGTAAAATCTAGTTGTACAGAGTTACGTCACAATCAAAGTATCATAATACCAGATTCTGACTTTCGAGAATAGGTGAGAACATAACAGGCCGATAAATTGTTTAATAAATGTAATGAAGAGTGAACATAGCAAAGTTCAGCTTTATTTTACTTACTTTTACTAAAATTAACAATGTTTTGTAAAACGAAAATTATTACAGTTATTATGCTTACGTAGATAACATGCAGCACCTGAAACGCGATCGTCCTTGAACGACTCGTCGCGCCGCCCTATACGAGCCCCCACTGTTTAATCACAGACTCACAGTCCGCCGGCGTCACTTGCAGATGATTTATCCATCTCCACTCATGTAGGTATAATAATACTTTCATTTATTTGTCATGTGAGTTTACCCATAATATAAATAGTACCTAAATACACGGTGTCACCATAAATATAGTCAATAGATTTCTGAAGACATAAAGTGATCAAAGAGGTGCAATGAGCTCGATCGAGTGTTTGCCGGACATAATACTGGACCACATCTTCTGGTTCCTGCGGCCACTGGAGCTGCTGCGGTCATGCGCGCTGGTGAGCAAGCGCTGGAACACGCTGGTGGTGCGGCGCGCGCTCGTGGTGCGCGGCACGCGCCATCTGCAGCGCGTGCGGCACTCGCTGCACGCGCTCTACGTGCTGCTGCCCGACATCATCAGCGAGATGCCGCCACGCGTGCCGCTCTTCGACCTCGTGCCCACTATAGTGCGGCAGGCCCCCTTGTTGGTTGAATTGTCCTTGGGAGTGGATGTACCGCTGGACCCCTACATGATGGGCACATTGAACGGGCTGCGATGTCTCCGCCACCTCGACGTGTTTCCTTCTTACAAGATTGGTTCGGAAACGCTGCCCCTGCTGCTGAGGCTGGACGCGCTGGTGCTAAACAACGTAGTACACTCCAAAGTCCTCGTGGAGTTGGCCACCCAAGGCCGCCTTAAGGCGTTGCACTTGCAAGGGTACCTACTGGTCCGCAACTATCCACTCCGTGGTATGCTCAGACTCATTAATGCGACAGACCTGCGCGAGCTCACGTTGCGCTGTAGCGAGCTGCATAATCCTGCGTACGAAACTGTCGTGACCTGCCCAAACCTAACGTCACTGCAGCTATACTCGTGCCGGTACCTGACGGGTGCAGGCGCGGTGCACCTGACGCGGCCGCGGGGTCTCACGCGCCTGCATGTGACGGGAGCGCGCAGTCTGTCGCCCGTGGGGTTGGCCGCCATGCTGGCGACGCTCCCACCTGGCCTCAAGGACCTGGCACTGAGCGGTACGAGCTTCGCAGATGAACACGCCCAGCTGGTGATCACCCACGCACCCCACCTGGAAGAGCTAGAGTTGTGGAGGGTTCACATATCCGCGAAGGCGGTAATACTGCTAGCTAGCTTGCTGTTGCAAATTCGTTGCCTTAGTGTGGAGGTGGCGATGACTGCCGAGCAGCTGCGTATACTGGCGGTGCACCCAACTTTAAAGCTGGTGCGCTGCGGCTCGATGCCAATGAAGCCGGATACGTACAAGATCAGCGGTTTGCGCGTCGTGTCCACGAAGGCGAAGTACCCGCTCCCATGCATGTTTCAATCAAACCTGGACAATTCCACAGACGGGTTCCGTGCGTCCTTCTGCTACTACTGGATGCATTACAGCGATCTGGAGCCGGTCGGCGCGACTGCGAACATGGCGATCAGCACCGTGATGGAGGACAGTCACAACAACATGTTCGCCAAACTGCCAATACCTGGAGCGACGTACGTCACGAACACGATCAGTATCGACGGGGTCTATAGAGAATATTATAGAAACTACTCGTACGACGTGGACAATGAAGTGGTGGGCACGAGACCCTCTCGGTTTACTGTAAAGTACTCGCATTGTTGACTCTGTCTAGTCTAAGGAGTACACTCTTGTATGGGGATCACACACACGCACACACTACAACTCAGACACCGCTACGATTCCGCAATAAGAATCTGGGATTCTGTTGGAAATGGATCTATTCCTACATTACGATGAAGAGAGGTGAGTTGACTTTGAGCCTTTGAGTAATTTATCCCACATTACTCGAATGTCACATCATAATACAACTCATTCTAATACGGTAGTGAGTCGTAATGCCCGTGTGTCGCGCTCACGCTTAATTCGTCACTCATGTATGTCTTCTGTATGTTGAGGTATCAGGACTATAGCACTATCGAAGTAGGCATACTTCACAGTCGGCAGACTGTTAACGCTCGCTGTTAACGATTTAAAATTCTAGCATAATGTCGAAAATGTTATTGAAAGTGGTGGTGTGCTCATTTTCAAATATTTTATTACATTGTATAATAAGAAATTATTTATTTTTTACCAAGGTAATATCCCAATTTTGATGAATTTTAGAACCTACTTAAGTATTGTACGTGTGTACATAAACTTTAAATAGAGCTTCAGAGGCGGACGTTACGGGACACCTTGACACCTTTCATACACGAGCAATACCGCAGGCAAAAACTAGTTATTTATCTAATCTGAATTTGTAAACAATTCTATTATTTTGTATAATTTGATTACATTACTCCTTAAAAACGATCTGTCTATAGATAAATGTACATACATTGCACAATGGCGCCCAACGTGGGACGTTGCAAGTATGTCATGTAGACATACTTGCAACGTCCCACGTTGGGCGCCACAAAAAGAATTTCATCTCTCCATACTACGAGAGATTTAGTAAGAATATTTGTCTTTTGTAGATTCCTCTTTTATGGAATAAAAACTATATAAAAATTTTGCATTGCTTAATATTATTGAGATGTTATAGTGTGCGTATCTTTTTTTTTTTTAACAAACAAATATATTATTTATTTCCTTTTGTTCACATATATGTACTTAATCTAAGCTTATTATTTAACTATTCTAGGTAGGGTTACAATACAATGCCTGTATAGAATTAAATCTGTAGAAGTAAATCTGAGTGAAACACAATTTTGTAGCGGTAACCCTTTGTGAACTCGTATTTGCAAGATGGCGGCTGCGGCACAATAGTCGGGACCCCACGAACTTGCATTTTATATTTAGGTCATGTAATCATTCAGTTTTACATGAGTTCATTTAATGTCATGTTATTGAAATTAAATTGTATTATTGAAAAGAAATGATAATAAAATGCAATGATACGTTTCACAAGCTTGATGGTCAGTGTAATTCTCTGAGAATACAATGACCTTACTAAACATCAAATTAAATTACGTTCTCTATTTGAGGAGAGCAAGCGCAAATTGTAACTTTTGAATGTACCTCCACCTAGCTGTAAGATTAATGTCCAGTGTTATCTAATTAGAATTAGGTAAGAAGTAAGAACTATAATATTAAGTAGGTATCTATTTTGTTTTGTAAGCATTCCCTCGACGTGTACTGTGGCTGTGTCCGTCTGTACCGAATTATTATTCACATGTCTCTTCTACTTCTAGTTTCTGAATGTTTTTAACTTTTGCAACAAATGCATTAATAAATGAATGTATCTTATACTAGTAACAAAACGTTTGTAATGAGCATGTTTGTCAAATAAATCAGATTTCAATCTTGTCTCAAATGTTGATTTATTATTAGATATTATTATCGAAACCAAAACAGACCAATGACCGAAATAAATACCGATCTCAGTAAAAAACCTCTGCAGTCATCTAGTTTTTAGCAGAAATTCATAATTTAATTGTGTGTATAGCTAATATAAAAAATCGACCTAATAACCAAAGGTCATAACCCCTGATGTGCCTCCAATAACTGTCTCGTGTTTGGAAGACTGGGAGCGACCTGCTTGCCGTACTAAGACTACTTGGGGTTTCGATAACACACCGCAATAATATTATTGAACTTTTCATTAATTGAAATCTCAGTATCCAAGAGCGCCACGAATTTCTACAGATCATACAAAATATTTGTCCACGACTCCGGCGAGGGAGACGAACGCGTGACGCGCAGCCGCCCCGAGTGCTTAGTATCGCTAAGTTACGAGTCGTTTGATGTTAATGTTACCGATCGTTGGGTTGTTTACGTATCGCTAAGTACTTCACATCAATTCCACGAAGTGTTTATAAATAGCGCCTGCTACAAGAACCGCCCTAGTTGTGGAACAGATTATTGCTATAATAAAACCTACAGGCAATACATTTGTATATTTCTTGCTTATAGAAATAACTTGAGATCTTACCGGTGGTGGCCTAATCAACGCAAAATAAAATAGTTATTAGAATTGTTGTGGTGTTTACGGGCGACGCCGATTGCTTACCATCAGTCGATGAGAGGCGATCGGCCGGCTAGTTGGCAGGGTTACCAAATAAAAAAACAACTTCAAAGGTCGGACACACATCATTAAGTATGCAAACTAATCATTATTAGACTTTATTTATCGAGAATGGTAAACAATACATCAGTTATCAAACAATGCATTAGATATTATTAACCCTGAAGTATTTACAATAACTATTTATAAATTAAGACATGGTAAGTAACCTTCAACCGGTGAAAATTGGCAAATTAATTATTACACCTCTTACTAACACTATTTTATGGAATAAGCCGGTAAACGAGCAGACGGATCAAGTGATGGTAAGGAATTCGGCGTCGCCTGCGTACACCTGGAACACCAGAGCGCGTTACACAAGTGCTTTACCGGCCTTTTGGGGATCAGGAATTGGGAATTCAGGAATTGGAAGGTGGGGGGGGGGGGGCGTAATTGGGCCTATAATCGCTGTTAAGAAGGGTCAGGCTTCAGGCTTATCACAGAAAGCTGTTGCCCGGTCTCTGCGTCCTGGGAGAAGGACATGTAGTTCATAGCATAGCATCCACTAGTCGGCTCTTACGACACCTGCAAATCGAGTAGGGCCACCCTTTTGGGAGTTATGTGACAAATGTATTCCACTCTGGCATCATCAGACAGTTAAACAAGCTACTCGTCGATCCAAAACATTGTCTGTAACCCTCAAAGAAACAATACAGATATCCTTAATCAGGACATGTCCTCGCTCGCTCGGTTATTACAAGCGCTCGCAGCGCTAAGCGCTACGTGAGGTGACTGCAGGTGACGCTCAATGCAGCGCACACTGCTCGCTGCCATGTGACTCAGCAGCCAGCCGACCGAGGACAAGGAGAACGCAGGATTGGAGGAAAACTCTACTGTAAGAAACAGTCTCCAATTATAACAGGTACCTAACAAATAAGATATAATCGTGTGTGGAGCCGTTGTGATAGAAAACGTACTAACTAGGTAATGTTTATCACTACTAAATAAGAAACGAAATGAACAATTTTCCGAAAAAACAACAGAAAAGACCCAAGTAGAAACACGGGGATCGTAAGGAGGAGGAAAATAGTTGGAACTAGCTCGGTGTCTGGATGACGTAATATTCGACTTCATTTTGCGTTAAAGAAGGAACAAACTTCAATAAAGGGACTGATATCTTTACATTTGGGTTTATTGATTTTTTTTACTACTGTCAATGGTGAAGAAGTAACAACTTCTATCATTTTATTGCCAAGTTTAGGTTTTTACGTAGATACATAGTAAGTAATTACATGGTCATAAAATCGCCTGCGTGGGCCGACCAGAACAGTAAACTGAATAATATATGTTTAACGAGTGACTGATAACTGACGCTATCTAACGTTGCAACATTATTAGGTACTTACTTTGTGTTTCAAAATAATAAAACCTTTTTTTTCGTTTCCTGTACTAAATTTCCTGAAACTTACTATGTAATATGTATGGTGCACGCACTGTGCTCTACAGCCTATGAATGTATGTACCTATTATATGTAGTATCAATGTACAGACGTATATGTACGTGGTTCTGATAGACTCACACGTTACTTTATTTCAATTAACGATAAACAGAAGAGGTTTCCAATTTGTCCGAACATTATTCGATGTACAAAAACAGTACACAGCCACTGAAGAAGTCAAGTAGCCGATGTCATTAAGTTAGCATTAGCGTTGTTCGTGTGACCTCCAGCCACTTATAGGCTCTGCGTCATTTGAACAAAAACCTAATAGCAAGCAATCTGTCTAGTCATACTGTCACAGTGTCCTCTGTTGGAAGATCACAACAAAATTACTCATCGTGTCAGCAGGTACTTATTTATTTACAGTGATTTACGCGCACTCGTCTATTTGTGGTTACGTCTTTGAAGTTGGAATTTGTATTGTCTTTCATTGACCAAAAACACCGACCAAGTGCGAGGCAAAAAGTAAACAAAAGATATAATAGATATTTCTGTGAGTAATCACGTTTGTTATAATATGGCAGCCCTCCTTGAAGATCAATTTATTACTTCTTTTAGTTTTCTTTATTTGATGTTGGAGTCACAACGAAATTAATCTGTGACAAATGTAATCAACAATCAGGCCGCGGTTCATGAGATATAACCTGGTGATAGACAGACGATTTCTTTCTTTCTTTCTTTCTTCTTTCTTTCAATAAGTACATAATTATGATTATTATATTCGGAATAATATTAGTACGAGTCGAGGTTTCTAGCAAAGTTCTTTAAATTAGCAATTCGACATGAAGTCTTGACAGAGCCGTATTACCCCTAAGGCAAATAGGCAAGTGTCTAGGGCGCCAGGTTACAGAGCGGTGCCAGGTTACAGAGCGGCGTCAGGTTACAGAGCGGCGCCAGGTTACATAAGTGTCCATGGAGTAGCGGCGACGCCAAAAAACATTACTTGCACTTAAAGGTGCTTGCCTAGGGCGCACTCTAGGTTTAAACCGCCTGAGTCAAGACCTGGCTGACTGCAGTGTGAATAGTGTGATACACACATGCGTCTTCTGGCAGAGCATGCTCGGTGGCTCGGTGGCGGACAGCGGCGCGGGTCGCATGCCAAGTGCTCGCGTCAATGTCGCGACCTGCTTACACTGCTACACATTGAGCTCGCAGCTAATGTTTGGTGATCATTGTCATTTGTATGGTACTGTTGTCGTGCCCCCCC